TATCAAAACCAAGAAAATGATCGAGATGACGACAAATGCCAGTTTTTGCAGCGAAGTAAACTTCATTTGCTTCGCGTCTGATCCCTTGAAGACAACTCGCGTGAGAGGTGGAGGTTCACCTGAAATTCAATGTCCCGTCATAGGGCTTTTAGACGAGGAGCTCACTCTCGTTCCACTGATGAAGCCAGCACAACCCACCACATTCCAAGCTCACCGTGAACCCATCGCCGATATCGTCGAGTGGAACGAGGAGGACTGCTGGGAGCTCTAGTATGTTGCATCGCCAAGCAGATCGAGGAGGCAAGTAGCATAGGGCACACTGAGCAGGTGACACCATCAGTGGCCCAGCTACCGCGGACTTCGTCGGCTACCTTGCTCCTCGTAGATGGAAGACCGATAACATCTACCTCGATAACACTGCCAACATCATATTCTACCGTAGGTATGGATATACCCACGTGTATAACAAGCACAATGGCAAGCAGAAGTTGACATATCATCATGATGCTGAAAAACAGTTCCTGCCCCATCGATGAGCATCCTTGAATACCACACTTCAGCCCATCGGACGAACAGTAAAGGATTTCAATTCATCGCTCATCACGACTCCGTGTTCACTTCCACTACGCTGAATCATGCCCTATGCAAACATATCATCACCGATCTTCAACTCCATGCGGGCATGAGGGCTCGGTAGACTTCGAAGTTCGAAGCTTTCGACGATGAGTTACTGAGCCTAGTTTAGCTCCTTTCACGGTGGAATCCACAGAGTTTGCTGCCAGTTCCCCCTCCAGCATTGAGAAAACTCCAACGCGGACACACGAAGAACTACGTGATCAAGAGCCTACTTAGTTATTGTTGGGCGCGATTGATTTCCTGAAGCTATCAATGGCGACCCTCAGGCGTGCTGCTCACACTGCGAGGCTCACGAGCTACGATTTCGTCAGTATTATCTCCATTGGGGAGTGATTCCGGCTGAAACCGACCTCCACTCGTACGAATTCGTCCGGACCAGCAGATGACGTTAGTAACTATCGCGTGACTTAACGCTACGGGATATCCGCAGCAAAACTGATACGCGCCCTCTTGCGCGGGTCTCCCGCGGGCCATCGGTGTTGAACCTAACGGACTCCCGGCAAACCGTTTTTCCCTGCCCTGCCCAGTCCCAGGATACTTGGGTCAACACATGCGGCATGGATCGTAATAGCCGTTGATCGCCTTGCGGCACTGCTCCCAGCTTGCGTCCTGACTCGACGGATACAGGCATTCCGCATAGCTTGCCGAGGCGCAGTCGTCTGAACTCTGTTAAGAACTGACGGGAGTAGTTTGATTGTTGAAGTGGAGGTCAATTGGCAATCAGCTACAAGCAACGTCGTCAATGTAACGTTTGTACGCGAGTTGGGCAGAGTTAGGCCAACTCATCGTCAATTGACCACCACTCGCCATGGGAAGTGAGGTTATCGTAGATCCAAGCCCTCCCACTCCACAAAGATATTGGCTTTGTACTACTACTTTATACTACGCTCCCATACTACTGCTCCGTAATAAGCCAGAACTCAGACATGCCACGTTGGATCCTTCCTACATTGACCGGACTGCTGGAGCACTCGGCCGCGTTGCCGTTGAACTGAACGTAATACACATGCAACATGGATCGTATTCCAAATACGACAAATACGGTATTTGTCTTATAAGGTCGTCACTGTAGCGATTGTCCGTGAGTTACGTTGAGTTAGGTCAACTCATTGTCATTGCAGTTGATGACCTCTCATTATAGGGAATGACGATATCGTACATTCAAATACGACTGTATCGAATGATGGATCATGCCCCTACACTTCACTTCATTGAAGATGAAGATGATTGAACGGCAAAGATATCTTCCTGTACATGTATGCAGCTCGTAACCATTCTCAAGCAGAATGGAACAATACACAATGCCATTAGAAGCTCGCATGACTAGGTTAGCAAACTCCGACTTACAGTCAGATGGGCGACCTTGTAAGACATAAGTCATCGAGCTGACAGGGCGCAAGCCGTCCAAATACAGTAATGTTTGGATCGACGATATGAGCTGCATAGAATGGTCGATCCAAGCTCAAAGCTGCAACTTTCGCTGTATCAGCACAGCGTTATAACCGATCGAGCCAAACAAACTTCGATGCTCAGTACAGTGTGTTCGAAGTGTTGCAACAAAAAAAGTCGTAGACACAAAGTGTAATCGCAGGTTTCCTCTGCTGCTAACACACGCCTGTGGTCATGAGCACTACGACCGCGCGGCTGAAGCCAACTCATCACGTCAACGGTATGCGAAAAATAAAACTTTCACCGATCTCTTGAATACCGTCTCCGGAAGACTACTGCGTTTACCGCCTTCCGACGAGCAACAATCAGAAATTGGAAACCGACCCGAGACTGGAAAACTCGTGAGCGATGCTCGCGGTTCGGAGCCGTAGTGCGACAGACCTAGGCTGATCCAGCTCGCTCAGACCATTTCGTCCCCGCACAATTATTATCATGCGATTAGTATCTCTAGTGAGCAGAGGCAGTGCTGAACTGTTCTCCGCGGGAATCTACTTGACGCCCTAGTATGAAGTGATCACTCAGCTCAAATACATATGTACAAACTCGCAAAAAGCTTCAACAGTGAAAAATGATTAGTTACGAGAATAAATATCAACGGCCTTGCGTAGTGTTCCAAGAGAAGGACGGAACGGAGCTTTACCCCCATCTGTCCGTAGTCGTGGATTGGACTTCCGCTCTCCACCTTTCAACGTCTTCGAATTGACCAGTGATGATCCAATTGCTGATTCCGGAGCGTTAAAGAAGTCCTCGTCGGTACAAGGAGCCCCATAAGCTGCTCCTGAGTAGTTCACCAAGGTCCCAATTTTCGACACGCTCGCGGAAACCTAATCACAGAAGTGCGAATAAGAAGAGGATCGTCTCACTGGAATTCCGTCATGGAGAATCACCATTGGACACGGTGATATCTTTTCCGCGAATGATACTTCGTACCTGTTTGAGCGTTGCTGTAGTTGACTTCAAGTTCCTATTAGATGCAGCAAGTTTCCGCTGCAGTTCCCCCGATCGACGCTTCTCTTCCCGGAGCTCCGCATGCACTCGCTCAAGCTCGTTGCGCAAGAATGCGTTAGCGTGTCTTAGATCCGAGATGGTCAAATCCCGAGCGGAAATCTGACGGCAGGAATCAATAAACGCGAGCTGTTCCAGGGACTCAATATAGCCACCTGGGCTTCAGCATCTGTCAGTTCCCTCTGCAGGCAGTACACATTGGTAGTGCTCATGCCAGCCATCGAGCGCCCTTGATGAATTCTGCCTGCTTGTCTACGGCGACCTCTAGGCCAGTCGCCACACGTAGCCTCAGACCATGCTGCTGCAGACCCAATTCGTGTGACCTGCAAGATTCACAGAGTATACCATCATTGAGGTCACGCTAGGTGCTGAATCGATTCGCCAATGACGAGCTAGCGAAGCGAAGCAAATATGTCTGTACAAAAGAACTCGAGTCGTCATCCCACCTCGGTTGATATCAGCTCGACATCGCGTGCCAACTTCGATAAGATATCCACATCATTGGTCGACTTCTGTGTGAGTTTACCCGACGTCCCGCTCTCGAACGGTGGGAAGGAACGCCCAGGGGATCCACCATCACCACCAGGGGATCCAGCATCACCACCAGGGGATCCAGCATCACCACCAGGGGATCCAGCATCACCACCAGGGGATCCAGCATCACCATCGGGGGATCCAGCGTTGGACTCGGGCGATTCGTCAACATCTGCAGGTACAGACGTACTGAGGGTGGCAGCCAACGGCCCAGGCCCTTCTTGAGTCAGAACGAGAGAACTACTGGCTCCATCTGATCGGCAATAACCAAGTCATCATCGCACTACTATTCCGGTGAGGAGCCGACAACGGTAAGCGTAATAGTTTCGTCGCAAGGCTAGAATCACCTATCATTGAGCCCACTGTGACCACACCGTCAGCTGTTCCTGTCCCATCAAGCGACACTTGAATTGGTGAACTGCGTTCCATAGGACCTGGACTCCCATCATGAGATCCATCAATTATGGGTGGGGGATCGCCAGATGGACCTCCTGGAGGCACCACCGACTTGCCGATAGTAGACATACACACCAAAGCCTAGGAGAATCACATACCCGTATGAATTGAAGAACTTGACTAAGCTCTCAGAGAACTCGTTACTCTGGACTAACACACTACTTGGGTGAATGCAGAACGATAATCCATGGAGAGCTAATGGCGTAACGGTAGCAATGTGTGCAGGAGTACCAACTCGTGCATTCGACTTCAGCCGGTGTGATTGACACTAACAATGATAAGATGAGCTCCAACCACTAGGAGAAACTATATATTTTACGAGCAGGGAAATTATGTAACACGATACAACAGGGTCACAGTCGGTCGACTCTACCACATACGTGCAATGGTACTTCTGGGAACCCAGTCCTAAGCCATAGGCAAAACCGGACCACCATAAGGTACACCCGTACCAGGACCAGAGCGG